ATCACTCTTTGGGTGAAGAAGTCTTTCCTGCTCTCTGCCCTGCCTGTTGGGTGCGTGGGGGCAGTTCTATCTGGGCCTCAGCCACACAGGAAACTGTCATGACTGGAGAAGTGACACCTGGGGAAAGCCCCTCCCCCCTTTAGAGACATTTTTAAAAAATCTGATGGAAAAACTGTAAAATTCGAGGAGAAAAGAAGCTTTGATGAGACACTCTTAACTGTAGACATATACAACATTTTCCAGATTGTTTTTTGTTTAAACGTAAATAATTTGGGTCACAATTATTATAATGTGTTTACTGGTAATGTGTTGTTAAAGAGAGTTCAGATTTTTAAATGTTACAGAGTTCAACTTAATATGCAAATATAGCGGTAGTCCTACCTCGTGGCTGTCGGAGAGTATTTGTCAAAATAGTACACTTTCTTTGTTTCCTACGGAATTTGTTTTTTACCTCCAACTTCTATTTTTTTCCCTACCTCTCAGATGCCAAAAGTTAGGATCCCTGTGCTGTGGTAGCGTAGGGTCCGGCAGCATGCAATTCTTTCTCAAGTACTGGGTATACCTGCAGATTTTCTTGTAGAAATGAAGATATTTGTACTGTTAAATTCTATAAATATGCCAAATAGTACAATTTTATATGCTACCTGTTATAAATGACACATTTTATGATGTTCAATCAGTAAGAGAAGTGTAGGTTTGACAGGAAAGTAAGTATTGCATACATTCCAGTTTCCCCAGAAGTGTGTTTTCACAACTCCCCACCCCTGGTTTACAAATCAATAAAACCAACATGTTCTTTCTCATACAGTTCCTAGGAGAAATCACCACGAATTATGACTTTCCCCTTACCCCCACCCTTTCATGGCTTCCCACAGTGCTCCAACCTCCTGCCCATCTCTTAAATTGTTTACATATCTTCTTTTTTTGTTATTCAAACTCTACAGGTAACACATTTTTCCAATGTTGTTCTTATACATTTATCCATTTTCTATTATTCTTTATGTTTCAATAGTTTTCAAAACAAAGCAAATTGTCCTTTACATCCCTCCATGAATTACGACTTTCAAACTGCCATGCATGTCCCATATTGTATTGACAGTGGCATCCATTCGCTGATGTTCATTTTATGAAGTAATGAATCCTTGGAAGCAAAGAACTTCCTGCAGAGGAGGAGGGGGGGAAGTGGAGTGCTTTTGTCATGATTTTGTCATCCTGCAGCTTTTGTCATGATTTTTTAGGACCTCTTCATGTGGCCGTCAGACCACACTAATGGTTTCCCTTCAGGTATGAAGGGGATCTATGCGATCAGTGGACATATGGGACAGAGTTATGATGAACGGTGACATCCTGGAGTACAGTAATTTGTTCTGTACAAATTACTTCCTTGCCCAAAGCACTCGGGCATCTCTGCTGCTTTGGTGCTTGGCTGGCTGGCTGGCTGGCTGGCTGCCACACAAAGTGGGAGACTCAGCTATGGCACTTTAGAAAAAGAAAAGCAGTGTGGGCTCAGTAGATTTTAATGCTCGCTTTTAATTACCTTTTTAGGGTGTTTCAAAGATGACCGCATTGTGTTCTGGACATGGATGTTTTCCACGTACTTTATGGAGAAATGGGCTCCCCGGCAGGATGACATGCTTTTCTACGTCCGTCGAAAATTGTCCTACGTAAGTGGCGATAATACAGATGGGAAGAAGGTGAGTGGCGAAAAAAAGGCATCTTAAACCTCAAGGACTTCTCCCAAGCGAATGCAAAACTTTTGGCTGTGTCTGTCTCCTTAGAAATAGTGTAAAAAGAGGCTGTGGTCCATGGGCGTGGAACATACTCATGCAGAACAGATAATTGCATATAATCTCTTACACACATTATTCCTTTTTTAAAGTCTGTAGCCTTTGTGATTTTAGGGAAGAAAATGTAATATAATATATATCTAGGGTACTTTCAGGAGATGATTACCACAGTTGAGCACGAAATGGCACCTGGGTATTAGCTTTTTTGGGGTTGGTTTTTTTTTTTTTTTGCAGAAAGTGGAAGTTCTTACCCTGTTAGTCCTTTGCAGTTAGTGCCAGCCGGGTGTGCGGTCGATCTTCAGCTTCAAACGGGGGTGGGTTAAGGTGGCTATTATCTTTCGAGAGTATTTCTCCTTTTACAGATCCTTAGGGCCAAAAATTGCAGATATTTTTATTTTTATTTATTTAAAACATTCGTTAGCTGCCTTTCTAGCTTACGGGGCTTGAGGAGGCTTACAACATAGATAAAATGCATAAAATACATTAAAAACCAAAATTTTAAAATCACATCTCAGGATGGCTCATAAACGTAACCAAATACGGTTCTAAATAAAACCATATGGAGTGTGCGAATTCCTAGTATTGAGCACCCAAGACAGATTGGGTATTCTTTCAGTTTACCACTCACGTAGCTTGCTTCTACCATCCCTCTATGGAAGGCACATGGAGTTTTCCCATGTTCATTGCTGCAGCTCCATCCAGCCCCTGGAAAGATCACTCTTGGGGTCATAGGATCTACTCAGGAGAACAGTGGTGAGGGTGAGTGAGCTTTAGGAAGGAGGACAAGGGTATGAAATTGCCCCTCTCAGTAGAGATGTGCATGCCGAAAAGGGAGGAGGAGTCATTTCTTTTCGTCGTCCCTCCTCACTCCAGCCTCTTTGAGCCTGTTGGCCCCCAAACAACGTTTCCCATCACTATGCAGTATTCCCCTGGTTTCTCTTTGTTTTCTCTCAGCAGGCTGAAGTTGAGGTTTACCGTAGGGATTCTAAGAAGCTGCCTGGCCTGGGGGATCCAGATATTGACTGGGAAGAGAGTGTCTACTTGAACCTCATCCTGCAAAAGGTGACATAAATCTCTTCTTCTGGCGCCTGCTTCTTTGAGTCCTGGAAGCCCTTGTTCTCTGTAGCTCTGTGCAAAGCACAATTGATTTGTTCACTGGGGGGGGGGGGGGGGGGGGGGGGAGAGGTGAGGCCGAGTTTTGGGCCATTGCTTCCCATCTGCCCTGAGTCTCCATGTTCAGCTCCAGGGCTACCCAGTCCCCAGCCTATGAAGCTGTAGAAGAGAAAGGGGAGCACTCAACAGTAGGGCTTTTGGGATGAGTCTTGTGTTGCAACGCCAAGCAGTATTTGTTCGCTGTGGAAATCTATAAAATAGGGGCAGTTGGGGGAGTTTTGAGTGGGTCAATGAAAGAGCCGTGGTTCCTGACTGTCCCTGTGCAGTCACATAGGCCTCTCCCATGGAATGGACTCCCTTCCTTTTGGTGGGGGTGTGGATTGTTTGGGCAAGACCCACACGGTAGCATCTTTGCAACTGAGCCCTCATCCAGATGGTTTCTGCTTCCAGAAAAGCAACTACCATGTGTCTAAGGTGATGGCTCAAGGGTGCCACATTCGCCTGCTTTTCAAACACCAATAGATGCAGGCAAGGATGTTTAACTCTGAGGGTCAATACCCATTTTCTTTTTTTAGCATCCCTGGTTGGCTAATTGGTGTGTGTCTATAAAATATATCTGCTCCCTCTAAGCTGTAGAGTCTTGTGAGCAGAAATTCAACTTTGTGAGCTACTGGCATTAAAGTTGTGAGCGAGCGATTTGGCTACTGCATGAATTAGTTGGCTCTGGGGCCCTCCTTCCTGAGCTGAGACAAAAGTGTGTGAGCCAGAGGCTAAAAAACTGTGAGTTGGCTCACAGTGACTCAGCTTAGAGGGAACACTTTCCTTGAACTTTCATGGTTGCTTCCCCAGGAGGCCTGCCCTGGCATCTGATGTAGCAAAAATTTAACCACCCATTCAAGAGTGCCGATGCCATCGGGAGGAGGCAGCTTCTTCTTGTGAGTTACTTGAAATGAAACACTTGGAAAAGCCGCCTCGGTCTCTGCGACCGTAAATAATGCATGATGTCAGAAGAGGCCAAATCCTGCCATATGACAGACATTGCTAAAAAACACTGCAATGACTGACAGAAACCTCATAAGCTCAGCATACCTCTGGAGAAGTCCTCCTGACTCAGACCCAGTAGATCCCCCCCTCCCCCCCCCGTGTTGAATTGGTATAAAGGAAAATACTAAAATAGTTCGAGAAGCTTCAGCAGGTCCTGACTCACAATACGTTTCAGCCCTAGACAAAATGGTGTCATTCAAGACTATATCATTAGAGTGTTTTGATTTCCAGTTCTTTGGAATGTGGCCTAGATGTTCAAGGAAGTCTGATTTGCTCACAGATCCGGAGGCTTACCTAACGAGTTCTTTGTTTTACTGTATGGGGGACCAAGGAAACAAAATCATAATGTCCTTGCCAGTGTTCCCTCTAAGCTGAGTTAGTGTGAGCCAGCTCACAGATTTTTAGCCTCTGGCTCACACATTTTTGTCTTAGCTCAGGAAGGATGGCTCCAGAGCAAACTAAATTATGCAGCAGCCAAATTGTTCGCTCACTACACTAATGCCAGTAGCTCACAAAGTTGAGTTTTTGCTCACAAGACTCCACAGCTTATAGGGAACATTGATGACAAAGTCCTCTGTAGAGAAGTGGTGGATGCCTTTACAGGCCATTTTATGGAAAAGGAAAGATGTGTTCTACAAGCAGACTAGATGTCGTTTCCGTAGGCCAGGGTCTTCTGAACCAATGAAGTTTCACTGCATCCATTACACACACTGGGCAGAATCCTGTGAACATGGTATCCTTAAAGACCTCAGGATGACTCACCGTGCAGGAGTACTTTCTGACGATAAATTGTCTCAGATTGCAGGTGGCCATTTCAAAGGCCATTCCGCAACCCTGTCAGTCTGGGCTGGTCAGAGGGCAGCAGAAATAAATTAAATTGCTCTAATGCCTCATGGAGTGATAAATGATCCGAATGGTCCACGTGATGTAGAAAGCAAAAAGCAACAACAGAAGCAAAAGAGGGGACCATTTGTAGCAAACCAGCATAATAAGAGAAGTGGTGAAAGTCCCAGGGTGTAGAAGAAGAGGAGATTGGATTTATACCTCCGCCCTTCACTACCTGAAAGAGTCTCAGAGCAGCTTACAAACTCCTTTTCCTTCCCCTCACCACAACAGAGACCCTGTGAGGTAGGTGGGGTTGAGAGAGCTCTTTCAAGGACTGCTCTTGAGAGAACAGCTCTGAAAGAACTGTGACTGACCCAAGGTCACCCAGCTGGGTGGGAATCAAACTCAGGTTCTCCACACTCTTAACCACTACACCAAACTGACTCTCATATGCTGCCTACCCTGTCAAAGAAGTAACTTGCTGATAGGGCCGCTAGATTTCTGTGTGCTGATTGTTCACAGTGGTTCATAAAGTTGCAGAACGAATTTTGGCAGAGGAGGAAATTGTGTTACTAGAACTCTCATCTAAGTTTGGATGACGGAAATGATTGTCCTGTTACCTTCAAAGTAGACACGGGGTCAACAGCTATCCCAGATGCTGCTTATAGCTTACATAGGCTTAGAAGTCTTTTCCCAGGAAGTTCTGGAGACCAAGTGATGCTGCACTGAAAGTTCTGGGATGATTTATAGCAAAATGGGACGCCACTGCCATCAGCGTTTCATCTTTTTATCTGTATTTATGATTGCCATTTGTTGCATACCACGTTATTGCATTGTTTCATGGCATCTGTGTTTTAACGTATTTTAATCTACTGTAAGCCACCCTGAGCCTGCTACGCAAGGAGGCCGGGATATAAATCGAATTAATAAATAAAAATGACACGACAAAAAAATTGCATAACAGGAGACATGCCACTGCTTGGGCTACCAGCCGTCAAAGCCCTACCGGTTTCCCAGAGAGTGGATGAGAGGATAGAATAGATGTCTTTGGCGCAGTGGGATGCCATGCCACCTTTAGGGGTCTTGGTGAGATGTCAGGTGAATCTAGGATACTCTCGAATCAGTTCCTCCAGGCCCCTGATACTGATAGACAAAATAAAGGAATAGCTGGCAAAGATGGGGCAAATGGGAGTTATCACAAAGACAGTGAGGACCTTTGCATACTGAGAAGGTGGCTGTGCCAAAAGCCATGTAGCCAGACTGGGATTTGCATTGACACCTGACACTGCTAAATAAATATATTTATATAAAAAAAAGACTTTTCCTCTCTTCCAGCAGAGCACACTGTGACATAGTTGGCAGCAATGTTCCCTCTAAGCTGTGGAGTCTTGTGAGCAAAAATCCTACTTTGTGAGCAAACTGGCATTAAAGTTGTGAGCAAGCGATTTGGCTCCTGCGCAAATTAGTTTGCTCTGGAGCCATCCTTCCTGAGCTAAGAGAAAAATCTGTGAGCCGGAGGCTAAAAAACTGTGAGCTAGCTCACACTAACTCAGCTTAGAGGGAACACTGGTTGGCAGTAGCCACCGCTTTACAAAATCGGAAATTAGAATAAGGGTTTATGTCAGAGTCCCTTAGCTGAGAACACATCCCGTTGGTTGGTTGGTTGGTTGGTCCTGGTCGTTTCGGTTGGTTCTAATGAAAGGTGTTAAGCAGTATGGCTGTGATTCTGGTTGGTTTTATGTATTAATAGTTCCCCCCACTCCAACCCCTTGGTTTGGTTTCAGCTGGATTACATAGTGACGTGTGCTGTGTGTACCCGTTCAGATGGAGGGGACATCCACGTCCACAAGAAGAAATCCCAGGTGAGGAGCACCATCTAAATCTTGGGAGGTGCCTTCAGCCTTTTGCACTGCACCCTCCTTTCACCCCAGATAACTTCACAAGAACCAAAATGGGGGTGCTCAGAGCAGCATGCTGCCTGAAGTGTCATCCCTGTCTCGGGGGCGGGGGGGGGGATTTAACATAGTCTATGGAAGGCCCTGTCTCCATGGAGTCAGGAAATAACATCCGCTTGGTTTCGTGAAAAGTTTTGCATCTGCTCCAAAGTTGAGCTTGTGGCCGTTGAGTTGGCCTCTCCAGGCGCCAACTTTCCTCTGCCCCAAAGGTGCTTCTGTGGAAGAAAGCAAAGGGACCCTCGGGGTATGGACAGAACACCATCCTGGGCTCCATTTGTGGCTTGCTCTACAACGTGACGGTTATCTGTCAGTCGTGCCTCTACCCCACCCTTCCTCCAAACAGGAAGGATTTGAATGTGGGTCTCTCCGGTCCAACACAGTAACCATTACACCACTCTGCCTGTCTGAATGAAAGCCCCGTGAAGCTCCCTCACGAGGAGGGAGGGCTTCAGGCGCTGATGCTGTCCTCACGGACCTTCACGCTCCCTCCCATCATCTTTCAGGCTCTTTCATCCCTGTACGCCTGTGTTCATTGGGTTCCTTTTGCTCTCCTTCCTCTCTCTGGCACCCCATTCCCCAGTCTTGCTGTCTTGCCCTACCCCTGGTAGGTCCTGATCCTTTTGCTTCTTTCCTGGCCTTTTCACGCCCTTCCCTGGGCTTTCCCTCCTTTTCCGTGTTCCCCAAGCAACTCTCTGCACTGCCACAGCTCTTTGCCTGCTGCTGTGAGAGGGGACGCTCTGGGGCTGGGGGCAGCTGTGGCTCTCCAGCCATTGAGCCCCTTGAGGCAAGACACAGCTGTGGGGAGAAGGTGGGAGATTCTGCTGCATCAGCTGCAGTGGAGGAGTGGGGAGAAGGGGGTCGTTGGCGGGGGTCTGGGGATCAGCGTGGCCTTGTTTCCCTCCTGCAGTCAGCCAGTTTGGTGTTGTGGTTAAGTGTGCAGACTCTAATCTGGGAGAACCAGGTTTGATTCCCCACTCCTCCATTTGCACCTGCTGGATGACCTTGGGCAAGCCGTTGTTTTGATAAGAGCTGTTCTTGAAAAAAGAGCAGTTTCTGTCAGAGTTCTCTCAGCCCCACTTACCTCACAGGGTGTCTGTTGTGGGGAGGGGGAGGGAAACCTCCTCCTCCTTCTCTTCTTCCTCTAATAACTATCAAAGCAAAGTAAATTATTCTTAACATCCCGATATTTTTCTATATATTCTTTAAAGTCCATCCGACTGCCTGTTTGTCTACCCATACCTGCCCTTCCTGCCAGTATTCATAGCTGTGCGTGGAGTGGTCCGTGCAGCCAGTCACATTATACCTTCCAACCGTTCTCTTCTAGCAAGTCTTTGCGTCTCCAAGCAAGCACCCGATGGACAGCAAAGGGGAGGAATCCAAGATCAGCTACCCAAACATATTCTACATGATAGACAACTTTGAAGAGGTAGGGCCTTTGTCAGGACAGACGTTCCTTAGACTTGTCTTCAGACCCTCCTGTCGTGATGTGGGGCCCTCTTGTTGAGTTCCAGCCAACAGTCCCACGGCTAGAAATGTCCAGACATCTGGGCAAGCCGTAGTTTACTAGCCTTGCTCTCTCTTTAGAAGCTCAGAGAGGGGCTTCTGTGGAGCTCTCAGCCGTCTGCTCTCTAGGCCCTGGGTGTCCCGACACTCCCTTGGCTTCGCCATTGCAAAAGTGCCTCCAGATCTGCAGGAACTTTTGCTGTGGATACAAAGCACTGCCAGACTGAAATGGGCAAAACACTGGAATGCGAGTCCAGAGCCAAAGGGAAATGACTTGCTTAGGGAAACTCATAAATGGTGGGACCCGAGTGGCATGTGAAAATGTGGTTGTGTGTTGTTACTTTACTTTAACTATACTGTTCTTACAGCCAGTTCAGCTCTGAACAGTGTCACGCTAAGGAAATTTATTTCATACATGTGTCTATATAATATAAAAAATTAACGATTTTTAATCTGAATCGACTGAGAAAAGAACTTGGCAACTGCCAGTGTAATATTAAAATCCATCCCTGCTAAAAGAAACCTCAAATTATTCAGTTCTCACCTAGAGTCCTGGATATAATGTTTTATCCAACTATCTCTTGCCTCGTTAAGCAAATCACAGTCGAATAGGCAGTGTTGAAAGGCGTCTGTTTGGCCAGAACCGCATTGGCTCAGTCACTCAGAGTAAGGCACCTTATTTAAGCGTCCCGATAGCTCCCCTGACGGAATAGCATTCAATCTAGCCAGCATAAATAGTCCTTTGTAGTGTGGAACTATCAGGAAATCAAAATAGGCTGGAAGAGATTGTGATAACATTAAACCTAAATATAAAGGTGAGCACATGTTGTGTGTTATCAACAGCATGACACGTTTGGGGAAGGGTTTCCATTCCCAACACAACCTGTGATCTTTTGGACTTGATGTAAGAAGCTGTTCCTCTTATTTGTACTTCCTGATTTTTTTAAAGGGATCTTGGCTTATGTCGTGCTTGGTGAGGGGCAATTGTCTCCATCATGAGTATTGCCTTCTGTCTCTTTTCCCCGACCATCCCCTGCAAAAAACCCAAACTGCTGTAGGATTCAGTGTTCCTAGGCCAGTTATTGGGCATTTGCTTTTCTGCCGCAAAATCTCGTATCTCACTTGCCCTGTAAAAGTCATTTTGACAATCTGTGGTTTACATGCACTTCAGGCCGCTTACAGCAATTGGCCGTCTAAGTATTTGATTTCCCTGGGTGTGATGGCAGGTATTCAGCGACATGACTGTCGGGGAAGGCGAGATGGTCTGTGTGGAGCTGGTGGCCAGTGACAAAAGCAACACTTTCCAAGGCGTCATCTTCCAAGGATCCATCCGCTACGAAGCTCTCAAGAAGGTTTATGACAACAGGGTAAGCCAGCCATTTGAGTGCTCCAACCTTGACATCCAGGGAGCCTTGAAAAGGGCAGCCATGTTTGTTCTAGGGTTGCCGTCCCCCTGATGGGGGTGGGGGTCACTGTTCCCTCTAAGCTGAGTTAGTGTGAGCTAGCTCACAGTTTTTTAGCCTCCGGCTCACAGATTTTTGTCTTAGCTCAGGAAGGATGGCTCCAGAGCAAACTGATTGATGCAGGAGCCAAATGGCTCGCTCACAACTTTAATGCCAGTAGCTCACAAAGTAGAATTTTTGCTCACAGGACTCCACATCTTAGAGGGAACATTGGTGGGGGTTCCCCTGATTTTGGGACCCTAAATCTGCCCCGCCCCCGAAGAGCCCTGCTGCACTTGATGTGTCCAGTGTGATGACGTCACCCAGAGGTGACATCACGCCCAGCATGTTGCAGGGGGACACACTAGCATTTGGCTAAAGACTCTACGGTGACTATAGAGTTTTTGGTCAAATGCTAGAGCTTGTGTGTTCCCCCCCCCTCCCGTGGGAAGCCTAACTGGAGTGTCCCCCCTCCCCGGCAAAAGGTAGGGACCTGGCAACTCTAGTTTGTTCTCATATTTGGTTCATTTGCATTTAAATTATGATCTAAATTGATGGACACAGTCTCTATATTTGTGTGTTCCCCCCCCCTCCCGTGGGAAGCCTAACTGGAGTGTCCCCCCTCCCCGGCAAAAGGTAGGGACCTGGCAACTCTAGTTTGTTCTCATATTTGGTTCATTTGCATTTAAATTATGATCTAAATTGATGGACACAGTCTCTATGTTACCGAAAAACCAGAAACAAACTGTGACATATTAACGCTAAACAATATTTCATTGAGGCCTGCAGATGGGTTCTCATATACTAGTAGAAAATTGGTGGGTACTCTACTCACGGCGGCAAAGATAGTGATTGCCAAGCACTGGAAAGACCCGAGTCCTCCAAGTATTCAGCACTGGCTTCATAAGGTGTGGGACTTATTCCTGTTGGAGAATTTTAATACGTTCCATTCAGAAATCCAAACAGAATGTGAATTGATGAGCCCACTTCATGCTTGGTATCCCTTATTGGACAAGATTAATATAGACAAATTTGATTGGGAAAATGTCAGTAATACTAAATACAAATTGTTGTTATATAACTAAAAATTGTTGTCTTGTACGGTTAGAGCAGTTTAGTTTTCTCGCAATACCCTTGCTTTGTTGTTTTGGACTTCCCTGTTGGATTTTTTTTTTTTTCTGTATGTATAAAACTCTCAATAAAATTTATGGTTTAAAATAAAAAACAAACAAACAATATTTCATTGAAGAATCATAATTACACAATGTAGAAAAAGTGAACAATTTCCAATAATAAATGTAGTTATAAATGTAGACGGTGGTCTCCGGAATGTCTTGCCGTTTCGACAATAATCTTCTTCTGAACAAAGATGAATAACCTTATCAAATACAACAAAATAACTGTGTAAGATTTTTGGACTAGTATACAACTCCTTTAACATTACTGTTGTCAATAAAATTGATTGGTATTGTCAACAAATTGTCAATAAAAGTGGTTGTCAATAAAATTGATTGTATTTGATAAGGGGGCAGACAGGATTTCCTGTTTTGTGAAGCTCACTGGTCTGCTACTCGCACAAGTTCTAAACCGCACCCATTGAAAGAAATGTTATCAGGGTTGTTTGGCCACTGCAGGTAAATTCCTGTGTCTTTATATGCGTGTCAAGGCTCTTCACTGCTTCCTTGCCCCAAATCTGATCTGTCAGCTTGAGATCACAGCCAGGTCCTCCTTGACAAAATCTGCCCTTCGGAGTGTTGTGTCATAATTAGCAGGTACCTTTTCTCTCCTTTGCAGGTAAGCGTTGCAGCGAAAATGGCGCAGAGGATGTCCTTTGGCTTTTACAAGTTCAACAACATGGAGTTTGTGCGCATGAAGGGGCCACAGGGGAAAGGCCATGCAGAAATGGCAGTGAGTCGTGTTTCAACGGGTGATACTTCTCCCTATGGAACGGAGGAAGATTCGAACCCCGGCTCACCTCTGCATGAGAGAGTAAGCTACCGTCATCCGGAACGTGTTCCAGGGGCCTGAAGTATGTGTTGCATCTGGTTAAGCTCTTCCTTGGGCTTGCATGGGGCATTGCACGGAAACCCAAGGAGGTCTTCGAAAATACCTATGTGTCTTGTGACTTGTGAAATTGCTCAGCGATTTCTTTTACCAGTGTAACCTGAGAGTTAAGTCAGACCCATCGTAATGCTGCATGTAGTCAGGAAGGCACATGTTTGCCTGTGAAAGGGGCCCTGTTTCCAGCTATGATCACGAATTCACAGTAAGATGTCATGAGAATGAGGGAAGTCTTCCTTCCCACACCTAAGATCTGCTGGTTTAAGGGTTTGCACCTAGGGTTGCCAACTCCGTGTTGGGAAATTCCTGGAGATTTAGGGGCGGAGCCTGAGGAGAGACGGTGAAGAGGTGGGACCTCCGCGAGGTATATCGCCACATAGAGTCCACCCTCCAAAGCTGCCATTTTCTCCTGGACAACTGATCTCCGTAGTATGGAGATGAGTTGCAATTCCAGGAGATCTCCAGGACCCACCTGGAGGTTGACAACTCTGCGTGCCCCCAGTCTGGGTAATGAAACACACATGCCTATAAAATGATACCTTGTCAGAGTGCTGAAGCTCCTAGCACAAGTTTGGATGTGGTGAACTGAGAGTTTTATTAAAGAGAATAAGGAGTCCTGGTAAATGTGAAGGATGCAGTAATAACGCTCGACATTATTAAAAATGCATGTTATTCCAATTCCCCACATATTTGTAGTGGGCGTCACTCAAGGGGGAGGTAATAAGCCAAATGAGGCAGTGTAAAGAAGGTAAAGCCGCTCTGAGACTCCTTTGGGTAGTGAAGGGCGGGGTATAAATCCAGTCTCCTCCTCCTCCTCTTCGTCTGCTGACTCTTCAGCCTGTGCGTTGTAGAGGGCCCCCAAAGACATTTTGGGCAGGGTTGCCAGCCTCCAGGTGGTGGCTGGAGATCTCCTGGAATCACAACTGATCTCTAGACTGCAGAGATCAGTTCCCCTGGAGAAAATGGCTGCTTTAGAAGGGGGATTGTAAGACATTATACCAGAGGTCATTTTGGGGGGGGGGGACGCGGGGGAACGCAGTTCCCCCAGGTGAGGTACGGGGGGCAGGGCACATGACGAAGCCCCGCCCCCTGCTTCCGGCCGCCCCGCTTCCAGCCCTCATTCAGCCAGGAGGAGGCAGGAGAAGAGGGGAGGGTAAGTTGCTTCCTCCCTGCCTCTCCCCACCCCTGCCTGCCTGGGGCCAGGGAGGGCCTTGGCGGGGCTTCCTCGCACTCCCGCTGGCCTTGCAGGTCCACCGCCGGGCCCCTGATGTCAGGGTGTGTGGCATATGCTAATGAGTTATGCTAATGAGTCCCCCAGCTCTTTTTCTACGAAATGACCTCTGCATTATACCCTGCTGAATTCCCTCCCCTCCCCAAACCCCATGTTCCCTAGATTCCACCCCACAAATCTCCAGGAATTTCCCAACCTGGAGCTGGCAACCCTGTTTTTGGGATCTCATGTGACTGGCAGAGTAAGGCTGGTTTTGGTCACCAAGATAAGAAAAACGGGTTAAACTGAGCTTCAAGTTTCAAATGATGGCTCAGAGTCCAAGCTGACTAAATGCAAATAAATGCTTGCTCATAAATTGGAAACGTGCACTTAAAAATAGTCCTTCAGACTCCGTTTAGGTAGGTTGTCCTTTGAGTGGTATTCAAAAACATTTCCTAGCTCTTTCCCCCCCCCCGGTAACGTCTTTCTTCTTTATTTCTCCCCCCTTCAGGTCACTTCCTTCAGCACTCCCCCAACTCCTGAACGCAACAACCGCCCCTCTTTTTTCTCCCCATCCCTCAAGAGAAAAGTGCCCCGGAATCGAATTGCTGAAATGAAGAAGTCTCACTCAGCCAACGATAGTGAGGAGTTCTTCCGAGATGACGAGGAGGGAGGTGAGTGAGCCCCGGGGGAAGCCTTGGCCTGGCTGTGTCGACATGAGGTTCTGGGACTTGTTCCGTGAAGACGGGGAAAGGTTACGGTCACTTGGGGGTGGGTGGAGATGGGGAGTGTACATCCACGGCAGGGTTTTATTTATGTCCTGGTTTGTTTCCTTCCCTTGTGCCCCACTTTTCTTCCCAGTGGGGGTACCCGGAGTGGCTTACAACTCCCCCCCCCTCCGTTTTAGCCTCACAACAACTCCCTGAGGTAAGTTAGGCTGAGAGAGTGTGACTGGCCCAAGGTCACCCAGTGAGCTTCCATGGAAGAGCCGGGATTTGAATGTGGGTCTCCTAGATCCCAGTCTGGTGCGCTAACCTCTGCACCATGCTGGCTCTCTCACACGTTTGCAGGGTCAGTTTTAGGTGCTGCTGCTTACAAAGCCGCTCCTCGGCTTGTCTGCCTGCGTCTGCTGTGAGTTCCTTGGCACGTTGTGGCACCGGAAAGGCAGCACAAACACTACCTTTTGGAAAATATGGAATTTGGTGGCTGGTTACCCTGGAGCTGCGGTGGCTCAAGTGGTTAAGAGGCTGAACTGCAGGCTGTGGAAGGTTGGTAGTTCAGCAGTTCGAGACCCGAGTGTGCCGCATGACGGAGTGAGCTCCCGTCTCTAGTTCCAGCTCCTGCCAACCTAGCAGTTCGAAAGCAAGAAATTGCAAGTAGATAAATAGGTGCCACTTCGGTGGGAAGGGAAGGTTCCGTGCGCCTTGGTGTTTAGTCATGCCGGCCACATGACCACGGAAACGTCTTTGGACAGCGCTGGCTCTTAGGCTTTGAAACGGAGATGAGCACCGCAACCCTAGAGTCGGACTCGACTGGCTTTCGAGCAAGGGAAACCTTTACCTTTACCCTGGATAATCTTCTTCTCGTAGCTAGATTCAGGTGGGGCAGCCGTGTTGGTCTGAAGCAGAAGACCAAAGTTTGAGTCCAGGGACACCTTTAATACCAACAAAGTTTTACTCTGGGTATAAGCTTTTGTGTGCACATACACTTTTTCAGATACAGTGAAATGGAAATTACCAGTCCATACATAAAGTTTGAGTCCAGTGGCACTTTTAAGACCAACAAAGTTTTATTCAAGGTATAAGCTTTTGTGTGCACGGACGCTTCTTCAGATACAATGAAATGGATATGACCAGTCCATACATATGGATAGACAGTGAGCAGAAGATGTTGTAAGATCGCCTCCAAGCTTGAGAGGAGACGGATGGAGCGTAATGGCAGGGTCTGTTAATTACCGTCCGTATTCCACAATTAAGGATACATCTGCCCATCAATCTCCAATTCTGACATATTTATTTCCTTCAATATGTTTCTCCCCGGAATTAAACCCAAACAAATGGTAACTATGTAAACTAAGCTTGTTATTCCTGTTTGGTCCTTGAATATGTTAAACATCTTCATTATGCTGTATGCTAATTACTGCTCACCCTCTACCTATATGTATGGACTGGTAATTTCCATTTCCTTGTATGTGGAGAAGTGTGCATGCACACTTGAATAAAATTTTGTTGGTCTTAAAGGTGCCACTGGACTCAATCTTTGTTCTTCTTGCAGCTGTAAGCAAGAGAGGGCTAGAATTAGCTAGTTTCATTTCAGAGAGATTTGTCTTGAGCCTGGATGTCAAGAGTCCTGCAGCAATCAGTTCCCCTCAACTTTCTTTCCAAAGGAGTAAAGTTTATTGGAGTCTGTAAAGGCAAGTCATCTACACATACATTCAGTGTCAGGATTGAAAAGAAGCGCACGTAGCCAAAAGATATACTTGATTCAAAGGGTCAGGGGATGGTCTTGGGCCAATCAAAAGAAAAGCAAAAGCCCGCCTAAGCTAACCGGCTATACATTCCCAGAGAATAGAGCAACAAGGTACCAAGGTCACAGTCTCAGGCTACAGGGCTATAAAGAAGAGGGAGAATCAAAATCTAACATTCCAAGCCAAACACTCATCCAGCAACAAGCATCCCCCCCCCATCCCAACCTTGGCAGCTGCATAGTTGACACAGGATGGACACATGCTGAGCTAAGTGCTTGGGAGGCCTGTAACATGTCAAGAGTACATGTGGTTCGTTCCTGGAATTGCATTTACTGAATCTTGCGAATGAGGGGTGGGGGTGGGGCGAGAGCTTTACCTGCTTCTTTGCCTCAGTGCTGCCACTCAGAGAAGACAGCAGGAAGTGAGATGGACCAGTGGCTTGGCTTGGTGCAGGGCCTTGAAGTTTATACCTGCTGTCTCCATGGATCGTGAGTTGCAACTTACCTAGCAAAAACGTATGTTTAGGATATACTGGACACTGTAGCGACTCTTTAGCAAAGGACTGAGTAATGTGTGTTAACTGTTGGCACTGTAACTCACAGGATGCGTCCCTTAAACATACGTTTTGGCTGTGTCCAGTCATTCAGTTTTTCTGGGAAGAAGTTATTACTCCTAGTGTATTAGTGTTCATTGATTTGGGGATGTTTGGTGTAGTGGTTAAGTGCGCGGACTCTAATCTGGGAGAACCGGGTTTGATTCCCCACTCC